GGTGGTGCCGAGGACAGGGCACGTGGCCGGGTCGCAGAGATGCAGAGCAGGGTGGCACTCGGTTTCCTCTGAGCTGAGCTTTCTTCTCCCACTTTCGCAGCCCAAAGGCCCGGGGCAGCTATTAGACAAGGATGTTTAACCAGATCAGAGGCCGAGATTATTCCGCTCCCAGGTCACCATGTCAAGTGCTGCTGTTCGCAACAGTGGTTTGAAGGACTGAGCTGCTCGACGGCTCCAGTTACCTAGGGACTGAGTGGGCGCGCGCTGGGGAAATGCTCGTTCGTTGGGAGCCGCGTGTGAGTTCAGAGTGGGATCTACACCCCAGCCAGGAGTGGGAGGGTTGTCAGAGTTAAAGGAGACACTGTACAGGGAAAAGCAGTTTTGAGCTGTGTTCTTACCATGATCAGCCGGGTTCAAGACTAAGTGCAAGGGGACGTAGATTTGCAGTCTGGAAGGGAAGAGCAAGTTGGCATAGACTAGTATACAGAGGGATAACTGGAAGCTAAAGCTAAACAAACTCAGCCTGGAAACTGGACACAATTCCCTGAGTTTGCACTGGATTAAGCATTGCTGTTAGTTGCAAGATTGAGATCAGATTTTTTTTTTTGAGAATACAGGCTCTATTCAAACAAAAAAAAAATAAGTCCTAGAAGCCCACTGGCCCATGTCTTACAGAGTCAGAATTGAGATGAGCAGTAGTTTTTCTGTGGCCTTATCTTCTGTGAACGAGCATGAAATGAAGAAGTGCCTGGTTCCACTGAGCTTTGGGGAGGAAATGAAAATCTACCACTTGGCACCGTGGCACTGCCTTGGAGAGAGATCCGCCCTGGCTTCCGCGGCAGAAGGAGCTTTGGGAAACATCCTTCCTGCCCCACAAACACAATGTGAAAATGCAGTGAACCGTTGGCTACCTCCAGGCTGCTGCATGTGCTTGGATTTAGCAGCGTCTGGAGGAATAAGAGTTTGGAGCCCCATTTTCTTATCTACTCTGGGTGTACTCTGAAAAGGGGAAACTGAATGTTTTGCTATAGAGACATAAGTAAACTAGCTAGTTTAGTAAACATTAGTATTGAAACATAAATAGACTACTTAACGTAAGAAAATGCTTGAAATAGTGATACCTCCTCACCCACATGACATAAGAAAGCAAAGTTGCACCTGGTTTTCTCCATGGGCTGATCTCAGCAAGAAGCAATGATTCAATGGCAGCATTTTCAAAAGCACTTGAGTAATCTTGGGGCCAAAGCTCCCAAGGAAATGGTTTCGGCTCCTGTTTCTTGTAGGTGCTTTGAACGTCTTGCTGTAGTGCTTAGAAATGCAGGCGGGCTCTCCGTTCAGCAGTGGGGAAGCTGCTGCACTACCAGAGCAGTTAGAGCAGTGGTCCCGGGCAGACTCCGTTAACGGGGCATGGGGGAGAGTCCACTGCACCAGAAACAGCTTCCTTTCCTGTTAGCCAAACCCCCCAGCCGAAATCCCATTTCCTACGTGTGCTCCATCTCCTCTCCAAGATGTACTGCCTCTCTGCAGCAGCGGAGCAGTTTCCAACACAAGGGAAAATGGGCTGCCCTAAATGAGCTCCCAGTTACTGTGTTCCCTGGCTCCATTTGTTGTGCAGCTCACAAGGCACATAGATATTGCTAAATCAGAAAGTCTTCCGTGTTAATTTTTTCTCTTCATTACTTAGGAGTCAGGATTTCTGGTTTTGATTTTAGTACCTCAAAGGAAGGGGAATGAATTGTGCTTGACACTAATTACATCCTTCCGCCTGTTTATTATTATTAGAATAAGCAAGCTACTGGTCTGGGGGAGAGAAAAGTGCACAAGGTGTCTGAGGTCTCTATTTCCTTTTCCTTTGGCAAACTCCCAGTAATTCAGCTGCCTCGTTTGCTGCTAGAAACCTGCTATGGGGAGTGCTTGCACCTGAGAGAATGAACCAGCGAGCTGCAAGGAGGGTGAGAGGAGGAGAAGGGGGAAGTTGGGTTTGTCTGCCTGGTAGTTTTGGGGGGTTGGTTTTTGGCAGACGGAGTCCCTGTTAGATGTAGATGTAGACTGAGAGACTTTTAACTTCTCCTGAGGTCGGACAGCGCTGTGAGGGACTTGCTGCCTTCCTACCTGAGCATACAGGTAAATGAGGACCTTAATGTACATTTTGAGCTGTTCGTATGTACAGTACAGAGTACAGAGACTTCAGCTGACATTTAGAAACGCTATCAGTATTGGCACAGTGGTTCTGGAAAGCTCTATTTCCTCACAAACCGCTCGTGTTTCCAGACACCTATTCTTAGTTTCACGTCTCATTTGTAATTAGTGTTTGCTCACATTTAAAAATACCTGTATGTAACATTAGCAGCCATGCGTGGTCTGGTGAGGTGGCAGCTGGGACTCATATGCCAGCCTGACAGACCCAGGCTGGCTCCTGCTCATCAGCCCTGGGCGTCCGGGCGAGTTGTGCGGAGTCTGAAGATAAATTATTGCCCTTACGTCCTCTGTGCAGACTCCTCACGTGCCCCTGTGACTCACCCAGGACTGCTTCAGACACAGTTTGGCTCTGAACGCGAGGTAATCGACAGTCATCGTGTTTAGAGGACACAAGGCAAAGCTGAATTCAACTTATAGTCTTGCAGTTATGGTGCCAGGAGTGTCACTGGTTGCAAAAACATGTTGAAAATACCCACTTTCCAACTGCACTTGGAGAATGGATGTGGCTAGCCATAAATTAATGTATTTCCTAGTCCTTTTCCAGAGAACTGCAGATCAGAAGCGCAAATCAGAAGAGGCTGCTGCAGGAATACTGTCTGCTTTGGAGCCTGTTAACCCTCTCTTTTCCTTTAAATTAACATGATTCCCCCTTGCCTGGCAGTCCCAGTTGCTTCAGTCTTTCCCAGTCACTTTGTAGCTTTGTCCACTGCACCCAGGTGCCCCTTAGGATCATCCAGAATTTATATGATAGGAAAGAAATGGTCAGCAAAGAGAGAGCAAAAAGACAAAGTAAGAAATGAGATTCTGGGAGGAGGGAGTGAGGGGATATTAGTTTTTAACAGCTTCTAGAAGTCTTAAAATAGGCTAGAGCTGGGCCACAACTAGCAGAAGCGAAGGCTGCTTGCGGAGGAGCGGAGGCACCGCTGCGGTGGGAGCTGCTTTGGCAGGGACTGTCTCCCACAGCTCTAGTGCAGTGACTGGAGCAAGCGACCGGCAGTGGAAGGAGGCTGCGCTCCGCTGCTGGGGCCCTCCGAGCTCAGTGCATTCGCTGAGGTCACTTCATTGCAGTGGAATTTTTCCGCTGCTCTGCTGGTTTGTCAGGGCCCTGAGACAAATTTTCTGGGTGCATCGATCTGGCAATTCATAAATCTTTCAGCTTTTACAGCCTGAAGGCACAAGCAGCACAGGACCCACACGTGGACAGGAGGGAGCTCTGGGTCAGTGGGTACCCCCTGGGTGCCCTGAAGACTGAGGTTTTCATGGCAGAGCCGTGAAACTTTCCACTAAAGCTTTTAATTTCTACCTTCTAGTTTCTTGGTGAATGAGCCAGGGGGAAGTGCTTCGCTGTCTTGGCTGGCCATCGAGCAAGTGAGAATCCCCACGGTTCTGCTGAAGGGTTGGAGCTCCCCCAGACCTCAGGGAGCCACCTGGGCGCAGTGGCTGGCATGGGGATAGTGGCACCAGAACATAAATGTGTGACAGGAGCAGTGCTTAGTGCTGGCAACCACCTTCCTCACACGCTGTCCTTCCAAAGGCAGTGGGTGCGGGCTGTGGCTGTGTGTGTTTTTGGCAGTCCCTTGTGTCCAGATCCAGCTGCCGGTGGCATCGTGCTGCTCCCTGCCTGCGGCACAGCCAGCCTGGCGTCCACTGCACCCCGGAGGATCCTCTGAAAAGCTCTCACTCCTCATCTGGGAGGAGAATGCAGCTCTTCTAGTGAGACCCGGGATTTTAAAAGAGCAAATGTCCCATTTTTACCACTTCCTACCTTCACAACCTTAGTAGCCAGGTTGACCTCACAGTGAACTCAATGCTGATATGCTCAATATTCTAAATAATTTTGCAAATTTAATCTAACAAATTAAATCAAATTTATATTTAACTCAGCCTAGCTCATTGCAAGCTTTTCTTCTTGCCCTCCCCAGGCTGCCAGTTGGATCATTTTCTCCCAGAGTATTTTGCTTTGCTTTTGGTTTGGGTTACAGTTATCGTTTTCCTGCCACTGTATCCTTGTTCACTGGAGTGAACAAGCTGCCGAGTCGTGGAGCAGGCTTCCTCCGGCCTCTGCAGGGGCTCTCACCTCCAAATCCCGGGGTAGCTGTAATATACGGACAGGCGAGTGCCTGCCCTCGCCCAGGGATCGCTCTGAAGCTGTGATTTTAATGCATGAAGTATTCTTGACTTTCAAGGTTTTGTCAATGAGAGTCACCTCCTTTATATGGCTTTTAAAACGGAATAAAAGAAACTTCTCTGATCCTTCGATTGCAAAGGAGAAATGAGGTTCACTCAGTGCCCAGAGATCTAAATCTCCACGGATTTCCCTGGCAGGAACAGGGCAGGCTCGGGTCGGAGGCTCACATGGCCGGAGCCCCGTCCTGCTGCCCGGCCCCCTCGAGGCGCTGCTGGAGCAGGGCTGCCGGCGTCGGTGCTCGCGCGGTGCCCTGGGCTGGGCCGCAGCAGCCGCGTGAGGCGGAGAGGCGTTCCCTTTTTTTTTTGTCTCCCCTGTGCCCACCCAAAGAAGAGCTCCTCAGAGAGCTTTGCAGCTGGGCCCCTTCCAGGTCGAAGGGGCTCGCACACCAGCTCTCAATGTTACGTATGTGGCCTGTTGTGAAGGAAGGTGTCTCTCCCGGGCAGCTGAGCTGTGCTTTGAGGGACCGAGGAGACCAAACCCAGCTGGGGCATTTGCCAGAGAAAGATTTGAGAGGGACAGGCTATGTCAGACCCAACAATGACCAGGAACAACCTATTATCTTTAATTAAGTCTCTTCCTGCCCAGGCGCAGGGAGATAGGTCCCATAGCGGCGATGGCGAGGAAGTCGGTCAGCGCGGAGCTGCGTTAACTCAGCGCCAGCTGGGACAGCCGCGCTGCCGTGT